GATGTAATATAATGATAAATCGATATAGATAATATTGTAAAATAAATAATAGTTAAACAAAAATGATAATTAATTAAATAACGTATAGGWACCTACTTWAAATTATTATCACGTTAACACAATCAATAAAAAAARTATCGATACAACGTTATTCTGTATTTTACTTGCGATAGTTACAGTCCTGCAGTTAACTATTRCAGTTGTCGCACGATTACGCGATTACGCCAACATTAATTGAAGTTTGAACGCTATTACAGGCTACAGCTAGGGTTATTTCGACGATATAACTGATTAGATATTAATTTACAATAGAATAGCAATCAAAAAATAAAAGATAGGTGTACTTGTATGATAACCTAATTCACTAATTATTAATAAGTTGTTAGTTGTTATATTACTTACCTAACTAAAAAAAAAAAAATGTAGAGTAATTTTACTTGTATACAACATTTTTAAGTATTCCAATTCGACTGTAAAATGTTATAGTTTTTGACACGAAACTCGAAAGCAAAATGTCTAACCTATATTTATTAAAAACAAGAAATAATGTAATTTAATATGAAGTTGTGGTAAACTATATGTCGATGTTATAAGATCTCACTCAACATATTTAATATTTAAAAATAATAAAACACGAYGAAATGTAATGAATAATTTTATGCAAGTAACCCAACCTAACTTATACATACACTGCATTATCGATAAACAAAGTTATAGGTTTACTCTTTAGGTATATGTGATATACGAGTAGGAACCTATAAATTATAATAATTATAATGTATGATGAGTTTGTATATATAGCCTAGACATATTTATATCCACACTTAAACACGATCATCAGAAGAAGATCAATCATTTCTGGTTCCAATCGCATAATAGTCAATCATATGAAGTTTAAGTGTAATGTTCGTATATAGGTGTTATCTAAATATAATTAATTACATACGTATTCTAATATGGTATCTATGCTAGAGTCAACCAAAATTAAATACCTTTAATATTGTATTGAACTGAAGTGAAGTCGATGACCGAAATGCAAAGACGTATAACCAGCGAATGTCAATTGTAAACCCAGTATCAGTATGTACCCTGGGGTCTGGGATTTACAAAAATGTATTGTTACAAAATGCCCCTTTCCAGTTTTCTCGCTATCATCATAATTTCGAAAAAATTATTATTAGCACAATTTCTTCCGAAAATAAACTCTTTCTGCGCTCTTGTTCAGTATATATAAATGAACCTCGTGGAACAGCACAAAACGTACCCACATTACCTATACGTGGTATATGGTATAGACTATAGATATATTTTAACTTACTTCCGCAGCGCGGAATTGACATTGGTGTTTGACGAAATTGCGATAACAATCGACCGTGTATACCTCAGAATTTAGATCATATACACTCATGGATAGAGCTATGATTTAAAATATTGAAGCATAGCAGTTCGGGCCCGAAGTCATCACTGCGCTTGCGCAAAACTGTTTTTTTTATAAGAGATTACTGATGAGTGATGACTGATGAGTACACAAAACACAAAATAATATTATAAGATATTATTACCATCGTGAAGCACTGACTGATAATAAACATAAATACATTTTTTAATTTCTATTTTCCATTGAGTATTTGAGTAAAYAATTGTATTTAACTATTTAARTATAATTAAACATTTTACATTGCAATAACCTAGGTATATAGAATATAAACTTTAAATATAAAAGTAARTTTGTGTAACATTTAATTTTTTTTTCATTTCAATATTTGTTAAGAAATATCAGTATTCAGAATTTCAGTACCTAATCACTATTAGTTTCTTCCCCATCCCCCGAGATCTAACTCATTTCCCACGCATGCGCAAAAAGTACTTCGGGCCCGAACAAGGTCTGCTTCAAACACGGGCTACGCGTGATATACGCTATCGCTCTATCCAGTGTATATATGATYAAAGGTGTATACTATATATAATGTCATATAATTGTCGGATATTATACATTGTATATACGGATAATATTATTATGTATATCCACTTGTTTATCTGGTCGGTGCCGTAGACACTCGACACCAGCTGCAGGGTCTTCCGAAACGATTGTATATATATATATATATATATAGGTAGTATATAGGTACAGCGAAAGGATTGACGGATACCGCGCGCTTGAAATCGTTGTATTATTATATTATATATAATAAATAATAATGAATGGAAACTGCGCGGGGGCGTTCTGCGGCAGAGTTTTCGACGTGGCGAAACCGGCGCACCTGTTCGTTAAAATCCCCGTCGCCACCGTTTGTTATAATAATACGGTCATATCACTGTGACTGCCGCCGCTCTCCATATAATAGCGTTACAATTCCTGAACTGTTAAACGTCGTTATATTATATTAGGTACGGATACATTATATTATTACCTATATAGGTTTACCCAGATCTTTCTCCTCCTCCTCCTCCTCCTCCTCCTCCTCTTCGTCATCATCTCATCCACCCCTTCTTAAGCGACGGCAATTCACAGTGCATCGTGTGTGTTGTTCGGTCAGACATGAAAGGCAGTTACACAAATGCGGTGTAGTTGTTTGAAGTGTGTATTCCGACGACACGATACGGTCAAACGCGCCGTGCCGCCGTCATCGAAATCATTATTATTATTATATAGGTACGACTCCTATTTTATTGATTGTATTTAGGTATATATATCGTCTTCATAAAAGTATTTTATTAGGCGCATCTATGTCCTATGATCCGCATGATAATAAAATGCTGTAATAGTATTGTACGTAAACAATAGTATCCCGTTTTACTTTTAAAATAACTTTTCATTTAATTAAATATATAATATTGAAAATATTATTATATCGGATGTATAATAATACAATATTTAAAAAAAAAACTTATATTGTGAACCAAATTATGTACATTTTATATCCCCATAAAAAAGAATTTTAATTTTACTTTTCATCGACATAATTTTGTGGTTYCTGCRATATTTTCAGTCATTGTTAAMGTTTTCTTTAAAACTATAATATTATGTATCTACATGTTACGGGCAATGTGGCACGCCCGGGCAATATCCATATGGGAAATTTATGGTTCTTAWGCAATAGGCATTACGATAGGGAACAAAAACAAGTTTATACAGTGTGGTTCACATTGCCCGTAACATATACATGTACTTGGTGCAAATTTGACCACGAATTACTGCTGACTGTAGACCGGTGAATGTTATATACCGTTTTAGACGTGCCTATATACTATATACGTATTTAAATTTTAAAGTAAACCCCTTTCCCGTAGGTCACGTGAAGGTATATGTGTATTTATAGGTTATATATTCAGCTTTATTATCCTATATATATTATAGATCATATTCGCCATGTATAATATTATTATAATATGAATATACATCGCGTGTAATCAACGTCAACGTAATGGATGTGCGTCGCATATCGTGTTTTATGATTATGATTATTATTTTGTTGTTTTTTTTTTTGTCGTTTGTTTTTGTCACGGACGTTATATTATATTAATAAACGACGCAGAGGGTATCTGCCCGGACCGTGGAGGGTTGGACCGCCGGACGTCCGGACACCACCGTGGCACAAAAAAATATATAAAAGCCACTGGGTCGGCCGCTACGAGGGCCGTCAGCACGAACGGTCAAGCGTTTTCCTCGGGGCGGGCGGACCGCGTACATTGTGTAAACCGCAGCTTAATGATCTGTTTGACCCTCTTGTCCGCAGGGACCGATTACACGATGTTTCCGGTGACGGCGGTACCGCTGCTGTTGTTTAATCGCCGCGTAAACGTCGTCTACCGCGTGAGCAACAGCATATTATTATTATATATATATATAGTATATACTATGTATACTATTTATACATTAATACCTATGTAATAATATAGCCGATATAGGTCGTGGTGTTCATGTGGAAAGTGGCCAAGTGGCGTGATAATGATATTATACTTTTATAATGAATACCATGGTACCATGCATGGTTGATATATTTACAAGGTTATTATGCATATCGACAAAGGATTGTTATCATCAGATACAAAATGGCTGCGTTAAGGGATATCACAAGTTGAAAAATACATCAATTYTTCTTATTATGAAAAATTTACTGGCTGGCATAAAAGTTCCCTCACATATTATATACTTGATTATTATTGGCTCCATTTACGCTGCCATTTTTGTTTTTATCTTCAAATATTTGATTTAAAGAGGGCATATAAAATGCAGTAATCTTGTATATTTCAACCATGGTCAATACCTAATAATATACCTAATAACCTTATATTATATTTTATAGTTTGTAAACATAAAACATATATACCTTTATGCTTTCGACGAACAAATAAGTATGCTGCACAGACATTTTAGTAAATAAAAAATAATTTATAACTGTAGGCCCGTAGATAAACTTATACGTTTTTATATAGGTTCAGTAGTATAAGGTGGTCGTGGTTGGTRTGTGAAATGTGAAGTAATCTACCATCATGCTGCAGTATTGAGTACTAGTATGTTATATACCTATAGGTTAGGTGTATTACATAAGGTTGCTTTTCTAGCAAAACACAWATAAATTATCATTTTTGGTTAATCTGTAGCTGGATAGGCTAATATAATTTAATACTAGACATAGCGCATAGATATTAGTCAATAGTCTTTACTTCATTAGATATATACATTATACTAGTATATTATGTAAGTTCTAAAATAGCTATATACCTACGTATCCATTTTACTTGACCAATCGTAGTATTTTATTATATACTCATGAATACTAATTCTATGTGAATTATCGTCCACTTATGAATACGGATTATACTGCTACAGTTCAATATACTCATACCATATTTTTTTATTATTCCTATATAAGCCCATGTCCCAACTGCGATCAAACTGCACACTCCCTTGTGTAAACGCTCCACTTAAGTACTATTATGATGTATTAAACACACCACACATAACTCTTWTACCATTTGATTTTCTTTGATTTCAGTTGGTAACACTGCTGATTACGATGGTAGGATTATTGCAACGCGTGAATTAGACTTGGGTACGAAAATTAATATTTAACACACTCAATACAATTTATATTATACATTATACATGATATATTATAAACAGAATAAAAATTGTACAGAAGTGTGACGGTCGATATTTTGCTGTTAGACTTCAATAAGTCAATAAAGCAAAAAGTTTTCATTTCAAAGTTATATATCATATAATCACATAAATATATATATGTAATTTAAATTTCACTTCTGCTATACTTTTTATCCTGGTTAATATTATTATATATTATATTTTTTAAGTAAATGTTACAGTGTTGCCAACTGTTTACTTCTGGTAGAGCTGAGCGTACAACTGTTTTTCAAATTGCAATGTCCAATTTACACGGTTTTGTTTTAATTATTTGTAGGACACAGTGGTGTTAATCAGCTTGGTGGAGTGTTCGTTGGTGGTAGACCGTTACCAGACTCGACGCGACAGAAAATCGTCGAACTAGCCCATTCCGGAGCCAGACCCTGTGACATATCGAGAATCCTACAGGTATCCAATGGATGTGTGTCAAAAATCTTAGGAAGGCAAGTATTATAAAATTGGATCTATATTACCTATATATGTATTGATTAATGAGAAAACAACATATTATGGAGAGACTTTAAAATATAAATAGTTTGAAATATTATACAGACACAATATAGGTGTATTATATCACATTTCAACATTAAATGTCTTTTTAAACATTGATCTTAAAATGCACAGATAAAATGAATATACAAGCCCATTGCCCATTACATATTAATATATTATGTACTATTTGACTTAACTATCCTTTATTATATAATCTATTTAACATTGGTTTTAAAGTTATTTTCCATAATTTTGATTGGCAGTAATTATGAAGGTACATAATTTGGATTGGCTTTACAAATTTGAAGTTTAGATTCTATAGGTACTATAAATATATAGTATTAGTTGTTTGAAAAATARCCTAATAACATCGCAATTGACAAAATATTACGATGAAACGTGATATTATTTATATGATTGAGTATAACATAATGTTAATAAATTATTAAGTGTTGTTTGTTATATGATACAATCATTAATTATATTTTTTTACCGCAGGTATTACGAAACCGGTTCTATCAGGCCCAGAGCGATTGGTGGTTCGAAGCCCAGGGTAGCAACAGCTGAAGTGGTGTCTAAGATATCTCAATATAAACGCGAATGTCCGTCTATATTCGCTTGGGAAATTCGCGATCGACTGCTCCAAGAAGGCGTGTGTTCCAATGACAACATACCTAGCGTGAGTACATTTTACAATATCACACAAATCAACGTCAAAATAATTACGTTGAAACATTTCAATCCGCGATAGAGSTCCCATTTGTTTGAGAATAACACGCGTATATTAACATTAAGTAAATGCGGACATGTGCTGCTAATAATATCGTATTATACCTTAAGGTATATTATTGGTAAATATATTATATGGTACACCTATCAAACAATCTTTGAGCAGACCGCTTCAGCAGCATTTTGCAGATGAAAAAAAGCGTTTGTTTCTCGGTCAGTATAAATGCGGAGTACCTATAATAACGTAATGTAGATTTTTAATCCTATAAAAAATATATAAATACAATATATATTTATTGTGTATATATATTATTTACAAGTATTATTTTTCGAGTTTGACGTGTGCGTGGGTGTGACTGCGGCCTCGGCAGTGGCGACTGAGGAAAGGGAGACACAAATCAGATTTCTTACGCATCACCGCATCACGCCTCTCCTAATCAATGTCAACAACGCGCGTCGCCGCCGATCGTGTGTTTTACACACGCACGCCGTACCTATTTACGAAGGAAAAAAAACAAACAAAAGAATACAAATCGAGTGCACTGCGTAATACCTACAGCGTATTTGAAAAATCATTTCCCTCCCCCGTCCACCAATATATATTAGGTATACTATATAGTATATTTACATTAAATCACATCAAAGACGCAATTTATTTTATTTTTACATTTAAGGTGTAATTATTTGCCCAACCAAATCAAAATATTTATCAAAATCTAACCATCTTGTTGTATAATTTATGGTAAATCATTTCAGAAGAAAAAGGAAATTTTCGACGATAAAATTGTGAAAAATTGCGGTTATTATTTGCGGTAAAATTTCCATAGTATAATATTTTGTAACGCAATTTATACTCGACTATATAAAATAATAATTCCCTTTTTCATTTAAAAAGTTATTTTATGYATTTGACTGTAACAATTTTTATCTTATTTGAATATGTTTAAATATGTTAGAATAATTTACCTGCAGTGTAATACTTTGATAATTGATTCAATTTCATAGCCATTTATTTCATAATATAATATARTTAATAATATGTCTACTTTTTATTTAAACAATGAGTACTGATGTGACTGATGCCTACACATTTTTATCAATTATTAATTCATATTATAATATATATAGTTATTATTTATTACCATGTTCATTGTTCATAGTTCCAATATAGGTGTACCTATATACGTCTGAAACGAAACAATCCATAAGGTTGACCTACCGTAAGCGGAGTATTAAAAGTGTATCCAGATTTCAGAATTATAGCCAAAACTTCCTATTACAATTACAGGTTCATAACTTGCACTTATCACTTTCGTGGTAATCCTCACTCCCTAAAAAGCGGATGATGAGTTATCAATTATCTTAATTTAACTTAATATTAATATAATTATGTAAATTGATTTCCTTATCTCCATCACAGTGCTGTTTTACTACACTCTTGTGAATTCATTAATTATAATCTAAATTAATTAATTCATATATATTGTTTGCAGTCAACTCTCAATAGTTTGAAACTTTCGATTTACTGTAGGTACAATATTTATTGTTTATGTATTATGCGGTATATTCTTTAAAAAAATATATATAATATTGAATTACTAATTTCTTGGACCCTATAAAACTACAACCGACCGCGTACCTATATTGTATATAATATAATATTTAGTCCCTCTCAAAACGCACCGTAAAATGTGCAACTATGACGTCGACGATAATATAATAAAATAATAATATTATATAATATATGCACACGGTGAGATTGGGGCAGTGGCAGGCATACACCGCCGACGCACTAGCGATTTCTCATCGTCGCCAGTATACACCGCGGCACGCAGKACGGGCGGTAACGCATATTTTCCACGCCTCGGCAGTTCCCCGAACAGTCAGCCCGCCTTAACGTCACGGTCGCCGCCGTCACACAGCACCTCGTCGCGTCCCCAGGGCACGTTTAATAAGCAACAGCAGCAGTCTTACGACAACGAATGTGTATTATTATATAGTTAAAAGATTATAATAAAATAATGTATATTATTATAATAACATCGTAGGTACTATCGGGTTTCAACCGTTTTCGGGACGATTAACAACTATAATAAATGCATTTAAAATATATTATATATTATTATACTTACGTTTTTTCCTCGATATCATCCATCGCTGACAATTATTATCATTCTTACATTATACAATAATATATACGTGATCGTATATTAATTGCACCGAATGTTCTTTAAAATATATTTATGTGCGGGGATGTATATGATATAGGTTTATATTGATTTCATCAGTTTTACGAAAATTATTACGGATATACGAGAGTGATTGCAGCGGAAATGACCGAAAACAATAATACTATATTTTCACATGGCTACACACACAGACACACACACACACACACACACACACATATAATATTTTATTCCCAAAACCTCAACAGATCAAAGAAATTATCGTCCGGTTTCGGCGGTTTCGCACATAACGTATTCGCGGTGTACTTCATACAAATCTCCGCTCGTCAACAAACCGTCAATCGCGCGTGGACTGTAAAACGGAACGGTGTCGGCAAATCCGTCTCATAAACGGCCTACTATTCACCCCATATTACACGTATATTATTGTGATGTAAAGCGATTTTAATTGTCCGTTTCCCCCGATTTGTGGGAATTCGAAAATATTTTGACATTTCTACTTCCTGGAAGCGTCGTTGCAGTGCGTCTGATTTCTCACACGCGTATATATATATATATATATATATACGCGTGTGTAATATTATGTATAATACGTGTGTAAATACTGCTGCAGCGGCAGTGTACACAAACACATAGGAACGGCCACGACGGTTTCACCAGACGTGAACATAATAATAATATAATGTGTAAAGGAACAAAAAAATAATAATAAATATTATCCCCGTTTTAAAATTATGTGTTAATAGTAAATATATATACCTATATATAGATGCGTGCTGCAGAGAGCAATTACAAATGTCTTTTATGYCAGTGAACTCCGGGAGTCATTTGTTCCACGACGAGTCCATTGTTCGACTGTTATGTCGGTGATGATAGAGAGAGATAATGTCCCTTTTTCAATAGTCATCTATTGTTTTTTTTCCTTCAGTACAGAAATGAAAATAGGAAAAAATTCTCTTTTCTTTTTCCGATTTTTTTTTTTTTTTTTTTTTTTTGTAGTCGTTTCAGTGTTTTAATTTCCTACTGAGAAAGTATTATGCAGCGTACATTTTTCCCGTATCGTGAATTCAAATCCAATCAGATATACAACAATCCCTGCATCCTTTTATATCGTGACGATGATGAAGACATTTCGAATGTTTCGTCCCTTCGAGTTACTTTATTTGCATGATTCAAATGTTATAAAGATTATCCCGAATTGACATATATTTTTTAATCAGAAAAACAATAAACGGTGCTCAATAGGGTTGTGCGTTTTTTAGGATGTAAGTTTTCATCATAAGCCGACATTATTAATAACACATCCTTTTATTGTGTAAATATTGCTATTATTTTATTTGTTTAAGTAAAATGCTAAGCCGTATTGTAAATACATCGATACAATACGATAACGGAGTCTAGTAATTACCTATATACACCTCCATACAACCACACAYTGTCTAGATCTTTGAAACGTATATAAACCTCTGAAATTAATAATTATTATTCTCACAAATCTCTATTGGTAAAATCCCAAACATATGCATTATGCTTCAAATTGCCTTATAAGTAATTTCAAACACAAATCACATGGTATTAAATTTAAACAGCATCACAGTTAAAAATGTTCTATATGTATGATGATAGATATAGGCGTTTTTAAATATTTACGTGACGGATGTGTTAAATTRTTTTATAATATATACAAGTTCAAGGGGAGGGATTGTAGTGTGTGTTTAATATAATTTATATGTTTTTAGAAAAATTCGGATGATTGATTATAGCCTATAGGTAAGAGGTGCCTACAATAATACCCTTGATGTTTATTTTATATGTACCTATACTAGCTGAATTCACCAACATGTGGTACAGTGTATTACTGGGTGTGCTTTAGTATAATACGAATAATACCAAACACAGAAAAAGAAAAATCTATGTTATATAATATGGAGAAAGTGAGAGGTGGAGAAGAGAAAGAGAAAGAAAATCAGAAACCGACGGCAACGCGCGCCGTGTACGTTGTATATGTATATGGTATATGTGTATCGCGTATATATATTCTTGTGTAGATATAAAAACGGGAGGGAATGCGTAATCAAAGTGTGAAAAACCCCAAAGTTTTTCCGGCGTCAACGGCGACATTAGGCGACACCCTTCAGGACAGTATATACTATATATATATATATATATATACACGAGGTGTTGTACGTGCAAGTCGGAAAGAAAGAAAAMAACCGACAAACAAAACTCATGCATTATGGATTTGTCGGCCGCGCGACACATCAAGACTCGCGCAAAACCCTTCGACTCGAAGCCGCCGCCGTGATACGCGCGCATTTCTCGCACACCCACGCAGCACATACACAAGCTATATATATATGTATCGTGTCAATATATATATAACGACGCGGCTCGGCGCTACCGATTTATAATATAAATGCGTGTGTGTGCACTCACCCTGCCACTATTTTTGTACGGACCCTGCGCCGTATAAATCGTCCGAGTATATAAATGAAGAAAAAATATAACCGCGGCGACAATACAATCGACGGCTGCGTAAATGTATTCCGGTCGGAAATTCGTGGTTATATACTTTTCGTCACGACCGGCACAAAAGACCTCCGCCGCTGCCGTGGAGAAAAAATACCAAGCATATAATATATACTATATATAGATATTGAGGAATAAAAAATAGGATTTATTATGGCTGAATTTATTGTATATTTTTATATATTAATATATATATAACATAGAATGACGAAGGCGGTCGGACTCGGGGTCTMGGGCGCGCGCGCAAGACAATGGCGACGCCAGTCTGTGTATATTAAATTGATTGGAAATTATTTTTTGACAATTTTCGAAATCATTATCGTTCRCCCACTCATCTGCTGCAGCTATAGATAGCCACACTACAGACATGCTGCTGTTCGAATATTTTACGTTTTGCAAAGTATTTTACGTGTGTCGCGTCGAGCTGAATCGCCAGAAAAAAATATTAATAATTCACCATTCACATACTTCTTATGTACACAAAAGCAAATACATAAAACTGACTACCATATTTATATAGTCATTTAAACTTTGTGTTACACTATTGGCTTGATTTTAGTGTTTTTATATGTTATATAAGATTATAAGATATTATATAAAATCCTCGTCGGTTATAAACGCAGCTTAAATAATAAACTGCCCTGTATACAGTGTGAACATTGAACTTATCACAAGAACATGGAATATTAAACTTCTTTAATTTTAGTTACACCTTACACATATTATAATATTACTATAGCAATATGTCTTTATAAGATGTTTGTAACTAAATTGTAAATTTACAATAATAAATCCTACTTAAGTCTTAAATATTTTAAGCGTTTTCGACGTCAAAAAATCAACAGTGCAGATTCGTATAATAAGTACTCCGTATGACCTTTTTTCAAGAAACTAGTGAAATCACTGCAGACAACATAATATATTAATACACGCTCATCCAAATTTTGCGTTACAAATTTAGAGGACATTCCGCGCATCATGAGATGAAACTAGTTATAATTTATATAATGTTCACTTCTTATTTCACAACGAAATATTAATTGCAGCATGATCCCGTCAAATACGCCTACACTATAAACATAATTATTAATATATTATTATAAGACTGATACAAAATATTATTAATCACGAAATTTATTAATCCGTGCGCAGGTGTCTTCGATCAACCGCGTGTTACGCAATTTGGCGGCGCAAAAGGACCAGCAAACACCGGCGTCCGTGTCGCCAACTTGCAGCAGCACGGACGCCGTGTACGACAAGCTGAGACTGTTGAACGGTCAAGCGGCGGCGGCCGGCACATGGCCTAGACCCAATCCTTGGTGAGTATTATAATAATAATTTATGCATAATATACGCACATACATAATATACTTGACGAGAGTATATACATATATGTATATAGGTGATCGCGCGGATGACCGCACACGCGTTTACGCATCATCAATAATAATAACAATAATAATGTACCTTATACTAACGCTCACTGTCGTTATTTGTTTTGTCTTTCATTATGATACGCGCATAGGTATCCACCAGCATCTGGCGATAACCCGTTCGGTCCGCTACAATCGACCGGCCGCCTGAGTCCGAATGCCGCCAACTGTACCGTCTTGCCCGACATACTCGACAAAAAAGGTAAGACATCAACGATATAATATATTTATGAATTTATGATGTATATATATATAGTAACATTAAGCTGTTGTGCTTTAATTAGTTTTCTTTTCATGAGTACCTTTATACTTGTAAAGTTTATGCGCATATATGTATATAGACAAACCGAAAAAAGGATTTTCGTATAAAATTATTATACTTATAATAATAAATATATAATGGTTATCCAGTCTACTCCCAGAAAATACACTGTCGTATTAACATAAACATATACAGTTGTCACTTCAAGGTATAATACTACCTGTCACTATTTTACTTAATACTATAATAAATAATAATGGCGTATTACTTAAATTAAATAATGATTATATTTTGCATAAAATAATAGCATGATAGTATATAACTATATTAAATATTACACCTAATTGTGTATTGTTGATAAAATAGTAGATTATAATATAATGTTAAAACTTTAAAAACAATTCTATAAAATTGATTTTATTATTAATTGTTATTCCTTATAACTATCAAGAAATTTAATTCAATCGAACCTGTAATTATTCTTCCATCATTTGAAGTTAAATAAAAGTAATACTGCAATATGAAATTGAAATTATTCCATAATCTGAATATTTAATTGCGCGTTAACCGTAATTTAAAAGTGGATATTATTCGCAAATTTACTTTCTAAACTAAACGAAACAGTTTGTGATTTATTTATTTGTATTCGTGTATCAAGATTCAGTTTGCAAATATAATGATGTAGTAAAAATAATTAACTACAAGAAAAAAACTAATTAATAGTTATACGACATTTTGTAAAAAAATCCAGTAAAAACAATTCAATAAACGTTCATATTTTATTCTGCTTATACGACAATTATATAGTCTTATGATACATAGTACCTATATATATCATGAACTCACAATCGCAGCATCTATTTATTAAACCGCAACAACTAATCTACAAGTTCATATAATATTACAATACCATATAATATACATGTTAATAAAAAAACTGAAATAATTATTAATATAGAACAGGTCAGTGAARTATAGATACCTAAATATTATACGTGCCTATGGCTAATACGTATATATAGTAAACAAGAATCTTTATTTCACCATATCCTGTGGGCGGGGTCACCGCGATGATAATATTGGGGTTATACAAGGGGGCTATTGACGCCGTCGTGCCTTTCTATGTACATAAAATTCCCCAGTCGGTATTTATTTTTATTTTATTTTTATTCTACTCAGCTCACGTGCGCTTACATGGATATACGCTCGCGGTTGGTTTGGATATATTAAAAAAAAAAACTCATACCAGCTCCGCTGTGAAACAAGAAAATATTGTATCAAAGCGAAAACGGAACTGTTGACGGGCTGCAGAGGGGTTATTATATTTAGATAAAGGGATTGCCGATGGACGGGTGTGCGGTAGTATTACCGCAAAAAGGGTTTTTGGGCTCCTCCAAACGGTAACCATATTAAATTTTGCTATAGCGCGGAATTCCGGTTTCAGCATCGAACAATACACACACACACACACGCACGCACGCACGCACACACACGCACACACACACACACACACACACACACACACACACACACACACACACACACACACACACACACACACACACATATATATATATACGATGCAAATAAACGGCGGAATGCCAGCAGTCGGGCGGCCATTGCGTACCACGGCAGCGGTGGCGCCCCGAAATTGTACGTGTATATATTTATATATAATATAAGAGAGATAATATTACAAGCTCGAAATAATATCTTGCCACGTGTACGAGATACATGTTATATTATTCTATTATAATAATATATATAATATATCGTTATTATTATACGCCCTATATCTGGCCTATCCTTTCAGGAAACGTTTTGAAAAATGCCTGCAAAAATTGCAAATTGRTGTATTAAACATTTAAAACTTTTCCATGACTTTGTTACGTGTAACACAATATATTATGCATATAAACACATGAATTCAGATAAAAACATATACTTTGTGGGTATAGTTATGTATATATATTGAAAAATAAAATACCCATAATGTTACAAGATATGCAATTATAGTTCTATAGAAACGATTATAATTGTTAAGAAAACAGCCCTTGTAAATTATAATGTATCTACTTTATACGTAATCTGATAATAAACTAATCTTTTTTAAATATAGATACGTGAAATATCGATTCACTCCCTCAAACTCAAAAATATTGATATATATTTAAATTTAAATTATTTATGTATTCTTCATGTGACTGCAACTATCGCGTTGGTATTCGGTAGAGTCAGGCTCAGCTATAGGGCATGTAAAATACCCTTAACTATGTTAAGTTACTGAGGTATTACGCCCCGTGCATGAAATAGTTAGTAAATAGGTATAGTTGTACATGGTACATCTTGTTAAACCATACAATTTTATACACATATACGTGATAAACCTATTGCTATGGGTACAATGGTACAAAATACAAAATAAATATAAATACTTCAAAACTACCGAAGCGCAATAGTAGTAATCAGTAGGTAATATTATAAAAAGAAAAAAAATGTTGAAAAGTTGTTATATCAACTATATACTATATAGGCTGGCTGAGAGTGGAGAGAATCCTTAGAAATTATATAATATATTATATGGGTATATACCTATAATATGTATACACACATATTATACCAGTATATATATAAGTGAAGGTATACCTATATACATATAACAGAATATACCTACTGGTATTGTATGGCCACATAATATGGTCATATTATAATAATACATATAAGTATAAGGTATGTTGTGATATATATGTATATATTATATTTTACACGGTGTATAATGTATATATATATATAGGTAACTACACTATATATAAGGTGCTCTGCGGCACAGGCCATTTTGATTGCGCGTGATGTATCTTATTTTTCTCGTTGTTCGCGTCGGTAAATAACACGCGGATGAATATAAAGACCGGGTGCTCACGTCCGTATATGTATACATTATATCGAATAATATATTATGAATATAACGTATATTATGTACATAATATAGCCACCGTGTTATATTAATATGCGGACCCCGCGCGCGGTATTGAATTGACGACGTGGTATATCCTTTTCTCCCTCCATATACCTCCGACACTCTCACTCTGGCATATGCACTTATGTATTTTCAAAAACCCACCGACGTCCATTTAGCCGTAAATAATTTGCTTTGAGCCCTTCGCATGACGTGCGTGTGCCAAGCGCAGCTGAACGAAAATGACGTGTTATCATCGCGGTCCTTCGTCGGTTTCACGCACCTCCTTTCTTATGTACTTATATTATACAGTGTATATATATATAAAAAAAAACGTAACGAATGTCATTTGTATTATTAAGCATTATACTTGGTAAAAAATTTAAAACCTTMAAATACGGGGATGTAAAAACGCGCGTGAGATTTAACGTAGCTAAACGCTAATAATATGTAACCTGCATAATATATCAATCTTCGTTTTACCCAAAAATCATATTGAATTAATAATATAAAGGGGATCGATGCCACTATAGGATTTCGATACGGTTTGTATTTCAAAAGGTATTTAAATACACGTGTAAACCTGTTATGAGTAGATTAATAGTATTTTAGTAATTATTATGGTATTTAATTAAATCCTGTATCATACAGGCTGTATGGGAATTACAACTGCAATGTTTGAAAATACGATCATGTTAACGCATTGAACCRTTATCACTCATAATTTTTTGTGTTTGGTTTGGAATTTAGTTTAATGGCTATCAGTGCTTCTTCATATTAAGTCTTACACATTGTCATTATCCTCAACTTTTATAGAATGGATATAGATATTTATTAAAGTATAGTTTTGCTTTATTATTTTAACAAAATCTTACCATTCCAAACTTATAGGTCCCGTACGGTACAATGTATAAATTATCTACTAAATATTTGTATACACTAAAAATTATTAAATACCCATACGTTTCTTTATTCATAATTAGAGATACTATAATAAGTTTCTAAGA